TGGTTCGGTAGGGAGTGGGGACTACTGGATCATCAGATGTCCCCGGGGCTGCAGGTTCCACTTCCCCCTCGGTGTCTCTCCCTTTGTGGCTCCAGGAGCTGGGGCGGCCGTAGGGCTCAGGATTCTCCTCTCCTAGAGAGCTGAGAGTTCTCCTCATCAGGTCAATAGCTTTCTCTAGAATCCAGTCTGAATATGGTGCCCAGCTTTCTCCCTCTTCACTTGCGTGCAGGGATTTCTCCATCTCCTGCTTCCATTCTGGCTGCTTGGTCCCCCGTCTCAGGGTCACCTTTCTTGATTCCTTTCCCCACTCACTTTTCTTTCCAACGCCCATTTACCAGCGAGGCTTGTGGTCCCGTGTCTCCACCACTTCTTCTCCTGAGGACTCTGACCTCTCAGATCCCAACATCTGGCAAGGTTCCAATTGGGTCAGTGGCTCTCTTTCCAGAGAGTTTTCCCCCTTTCTTGCTCCATTGTCTGACATGGTAATTTTTTGCAAAATCCCCCGGCAAGGGTCTCCCTTCCAGATGGATTAATTTTGCAAGTCCTGTCTAATGTAAGGACCCCCCCCCACTTTGCATCTTAAGAAGACAGAACTCTTGGAATAATTCTTCCAACAGGAATCCTTTATTAAGAAAAAATGGTGCAGGCGTTCTAGACAGGACTTGGGGTCCAAGCTCTCCCATTCAAGGTTTTAAGGGGTTTCCCAGTAGCCCCACCCAATCACCCCCTACTTCCAGCGACAGTCTTAGGCATTACATTCCCACCCCCTTTTTCCTTACTGCCGGCTGGATGGAGACCTCAGAGAAAACTACATGAAAGGTAATAGCTCCCTTTGTTATGATTAGGCCTTTTTGGTGCTATCCACATTCAGTCTCTTTGAAGTATACTGAAGGAAGTGAGAGCCATAAAGCCCCTTTGTTCACCCCTTTCCCTTCATTGTATGACAGAATCCAGAGAAGGCAGAAATGGGGTTTTCTATAATTGATAACTAGAGATGAAATATAATTGGATTCTGACAAACAGATTGCTGTCTAAAATTGTAAGATGGGTTGGGAGGAGACACAGGACAGTCTCACAGTTATGTAGATTGGTAATTTCAAGAACTTTTTGTTTCTGATATTAGTACTATTGCTATCAAAATGCCCAAATCCCTCCAGATTGTTCACAAAGGAATTGGAGAGGAATAGCTTAATTGCAGGTTAAAATAGCTATGAAATATGAACCATCTTTTCTAGCTAAGATTTGTCTTCAAAATAGCAGTTGCAGGCATATCTTGAATAAGGCTTGCATAATATTAAATATGCAAGTAAACTTGAGAAGTTTTCTATTCTGGTTATATACACCATATGCAACTATCAATTGCATGAGGAAGGAGAGAGATCTTGCTCATATTTATGAAAAATACATGTTAAATGACTTAACCATTCTTTGAAGATTCTGTGCAATAAAGTACAATGATAAAATTGTTTCAGGACCAGAAAACTTCATAAAGGATTTGCACTAGTATGAATTTTGATGAACAAAGCTATTGTAGCTTTTGAAATAATTTAAATAGATTGAACTTTCTCTGGGAAAACACTAAATATTTTAAGAATAAGGCATTATTGTACAATGTGTACTCTTGGAGCTGCATGTTCATTTGCCACTGGCATTTCTCTACTGCTCTATTAAAAATGTCTCTAAGCAGCAAGTTTAGGAAGTCATTTTGCATATTGTACAGTGAAATTACATCTACATTTATAGATGCAGGGCTTTTTTTGTCATAGAAAACGGAGCCTTTTTTGGATGGAACCTTATAGGGTAGGCAAGGCGGGTTGTATGACGTGTGTGAGTTCCGGCACCCTTTTTTTTTTTTTTTTTTTACAAAAAAAAGCACTGTATAGATGTATGTTAATCCAAAATAGTGTATTTGGTTTAACTCAGAAAGCATAATTGTGGTGAACAGAAGTGCACAAATAAACTGAGATCCAAGTTCAATTTATGGTTTAATTCAGAATCAATTTGATTTAAATGTGTGACTTGATTTAAAGGTAATTTGATTTGAATTGGTGATTCATCACTGCTAAAATCAAATCACAAGTCCACTGAATCCAGCAAACTGATTCAACATAGTATGTATGTTTATTTCACAATTAGAATGAAGATACAATTTGAAGAGTGGTTTTGATTGCAATGTCTTTAAACAAAATCAAAGCTGTGTGAAGCTATAATTATGACTTGGAGAAGTCTTAAATCTAGGAAACTTATTAGAACCTTTCAATTTTTTTCAGAACAAAACCAATCAATTATGTAGGCCACATATCCTTCAATGTGAGATTTAAAACTGGATTGCTCCAGGGGTATCATTATCGTTTTTAATTTAACTTGTCATGGTAGAATTTTAAGATCTTAGAGATAGAAAGAAATAACAAACACTGTTTTTAAAGCATTCCCTTTGTTCCTAGTCCAATTAAAAACATTTCACATTTTTGAAAAGGTTGTTGTTACCTCAGGACATGCTTCAAAGCACACATTCTGCTTTTGGGTGTGTTGCTATTCATGACTCACTTTCAGTGTTCTCTAATATGTCATCTCAGCCAAATCTTGAAGAACATCTGAGAATTTAATTGAGAGAACATTGGTGAAAAGAATTATTACTTATTCACTGAACTAAATGTGAAACAGAATGATAGATACTGATTGTATAAATGGACTCATTAAGGAATTTCCCTGAAAATCACATAAATCAAGAATATTTTGCTAGCATTAGACAAAGAACAAGCTAACTGATGAATTTTTGTGAAGAAAGGTTAATGTAATGTGATTATTAGGTTCACACATTGTGCTATTATTGTTTATTTTTGCCTTAAATCCAGTCCTTGTGATTTTTAAAACAAGAACTTTTGTAAATCAATTGTTTCTTATCTAGCAAATCATGATGATGAAAATCATGCCTTGGTGTATGGTAAGATTTGTATCTTTCATTGCAAAAGAAAAAGAGTGCCGCAGCATTCAATAAGTACTGAGTGCTTTACTTCACCCAGTCAATTTACAAAACTGAAATATCAAGGTGGAGAAAAACACTGAGAATCACTTTAGTGCAGGGGTCTCAAACCTTGGCAACTTTAAGACTTATGGTCTTCACCTTGCTGAGGAATTCTGGGAGTTGAAGTCCACAAGTCTTAAAGTTGTCAAGGTTGGAGACTCCTGCTTTAGTGCAAATGTGGCTGGAGAATTCTGGGAGTTGAAGGCCGCCTATAATAAATTTGCTAAGGTTGAAAAACACTGCTTATGTGAGCAGGAACCCTATTCTTAGGCTGAGGGAAACAGCTGGCTCCAAGCAATTCAGTCAGGTTGCAATAAAAGAGCAACAAATGATGAGGCATCACAAAAAGCACATATAAATTTAGTTTTTATTTAAGCTAATAGTGATAATGGATTTTTAAAAAAAAGCTGTTTCAATAGAAAAAGTTATATAAAAGACCACTAGGTGTCTCTTGTGTACCAGTGGCATAGGAAAAGCTCACACATGACTTTGGAGGCTGGCAATTCTGTGTGCAATTCTCCATTAGAGTTGTTTACCACTTGTGTTGATGTATCCATCCGATTTATCAGGTAATTATTGTTTAATATAACTAGGAACTTTCTAAAATATTACCTTTTCGTTATTAGAAAGCCCACTTTCAAACAAAATGCAACTTGGTCTGTAAGGCTGAACTCTTTAAATTTTCCTGCTTTGTGAATTATAAACTGTTGTTGGACAAAGAGCAGTCGGAGGAAACAGGAAGATAATAAAGTGTCCAAATCTTATTTCCCTATTTTAAGGGTAGTGGGAAGCACTTGCAGCCTTGAAAAGATTAATATAGGCTTTGTTATTACTAGAAACATATGGGGGGAAAGTTTATCTTTTGATACTGGAAAACATATGAATAGTGTCTTTTTAAAGTGCAGGGTAGCTTCTTGGTTCACATGCAGTGCCTAAGATGATGGTGTTCAGATTAGCAGGGGCAGGATGGCACTTGATTATATATTATAAACAGAATTTAAATCACCATCTTACTAGTAGTAGGATCATGGGATTATGAGGTGTCTAGTATCTGCAGAAAAAAATAAAGCTATTGAAAAGCCAGAGCACAATTTTATATTGCAGTTCTTTCCATTTTAAATTTTAGCTTGCTCCCTCAGATCGCCTTGGTTTTTTTGCAGAGTATTGCTGCAGGAAAAAATGTCAGGAAAAAATACTTTGTAAACCCAAGCATTTCTTTAAAGTATATTATAGGAACATCTTTTTTTATGAAAGTAAGAAGTAGAAGTGAATGAGCTTTGAATTGATTTGTGATTATAACATGTGTTTGCTGGTTAATAAAGCAAAATATTTATGATTTGGCTTTCTTGTGAGATTGGGAAAAAATAAAGTTCTGGGTTCCATGATGTGGCATGTCAGAAATTTTGTAGGCTGAGTTATTTAGCAAGAAGCAATCCTTCTGGATTACTATCTCAGATTTAATAGCTGCTACCATTGACATAATTAGCTGTGCTATACAACTTGGTAAAAATATTTGAAATGTGATAGATCACCTTCAAATATCAGTCCAATAAATGAAAGAGCTGAATAGGCAACTGGAAAAAACTGCAACTGGTTAGGTATAACATAGGTTGATTCTGAGGGCTTGAAACTGTTTATAGAGATCACAAAAATTACTAAGTGAAATATCCTAAGAGGACAGCATAAAAAGGGGAACTTAAATTTGTGGTATTTAAGAGGGGAAATAAGTATTGCATTGTTAACTTCATATTGAAAAATATGCTGTCAATTGTGCTTGCTTATATTATATAGCATACCTCTTAACATTGGCTGCAAATTTTGAAAACTGAGGTTCATTATATCTGGAAGCTATCAGCACTATAAGGCTATCACGTTGTATGTTAACTCTAATGATGAATGTATTTGTTTTGATCTGAGAGAAGTTAACAAATAAGAAATTGGAATTGCTGTACTGAAATTCTTCTTTCTTTTTCAGGGTATTCCATGGGCAACAGTACAAGTAGGCTGTATAGTGCACTGGCAAAGACTTTGAGTAGCGGTGTCATTACTAAACATCAGGAGTACTTGGAACAAACAGATCCTGAGTTTCTGGAACCTATAGATCCTAAAGATCTGCTTGAAGAATGCCAGGTTGTTCTTCAGAACCGTCCAGCCCGGCTCCAAAGGGATTTTGTGGACTTGAGGACCAGTTTTGTCAGAAATCATCAGCCCATCAGAGTTATGCAATGGAATATACTTGCCCAAGGTACAATCTTAACTGAGAAATTGTATTTGAGCCTTGTAAAATTAATTTCATTTATTTCTTTTTATACATTCTTTAAGTTAGCAGATTTGGGGTACTGGAACAATTTTTTAATTAAGGTATCTCAAATCTACAAACTTAAAAAATGCATAAAAATTCAGAACTCATTATACCTGTACAATTGGAATTTCTATGAAATTCGGACCAATTTTATTTTCAAAGTTCTGATCATTGCAGTGAACCCATGATCATGTAATATAACCTATATATATTCTTCTGAGATGATCATGACACCTTATTTGTTATTGGAGATAAAAAAAATATTGTCAGCTTGATTATACCCCATGGAAAGTGGGGGGAACATCTGTACTGCCTTTTTCTCAAAGGATGACCCAATGGGTCATAGTTAGTTTAGTTAGCCCTATAATTATCAGAATTTTCAATCAGCATGGCCAATCAAAAGCACATAATAATGGATGAGATATAATTAAGTTTGCTACCTAAAAGCCCCTTTCCTTATTTTCTGGGTACAAACTTGTTTTGAATGTCAGCTTTTCAGTATTTATTTTTAAAAAATCAACCAGAAAGTAATAATTTTATTATTTTTTATTTTATCGTATCACTAACAAAATGGCAGGATCATCACTCAGAGCAAAGATTTCAAATGTTTATAACTCACAGAAATAATAAACAAACAGATAAAGGCTCCAGGGATTTTAGGGGGGATCAAGACTCCTTCGCTTCCTCCTCTGCAGGGATTCCAAACTAGCCAGTCTCTTAACTTCACCCATGCTCACGCTAGCTGTAGATGTTCTAATTCATATGTATTTTTATCTTAGATTATTCCTTATATATGAATTAAACTTCTGTTTTTTAAACTTTTGGTTGATATGAATCCAGTGGAATTGTCACCTTGAATTTATCTTTAGATAATGTGAAATGTATCTTCTTTTTCATGATTTATGTTTGGAGGCATAAATCAAGTAACATTTATTCACAAAATGGTCATTGCAATATAGTAGTTTTACTCTGTGTTAGCATACGAGTTTCAATCCCCTGGTTTAGAAATATATGAATATAGTTTAGGATATTAAAATAAAATGGATGCATAAATATGGTAGAATAACCATCTTTAGGCTTTATTTTGAATTTACTAAGCAAAGTGAAATTGGAATTGCAAAATTGCTGTTTCACTAGATTATGAACAAAATTGTATTAGTCAATGTATGCCATTCATGAATAGATTTGAGCAAAGAAGACCAAATTTGTCGTACAGTTCTGTAGTACTAGATGACTAAAAATATACCAATAGCTTCTACAGAATTCCACTAAGAGGGTGGATTGGACTATTGGCTTGTATGTATTTTATGGGAAGGAAAATATTTCCTAAAGAAAGTTTTCTTAACTGATATATTTTCTTCATTCCAGCTCTTGGGGAAGGCAAGGACAACTTTATCCAATGCCCCAGGGAAGCCTTGAGATGGGAGGAAAGGAAGTGCCTCATTCTAGAAGAGATCCTTGCTTACCAGCCTGATATCCTCTGTCTACAAGAAGTGGACCACTATTTTGATACTTTTCAGCCATTACTCAGTCGGCTAGGCTACCAATGTGCTTTTCTTCCTAAACCACGTTCTCCATGTTTAGATGTGGAATGTAACAATGGCCCAGATGGCTGTGCCTTGTTCTTCCTTAAGGACAGGTTTACTCTAATTAATAGTACCAACATTGGGTTGACAGCAATGAAGTTCAAGACGAATCAAGTGGCTATAGTTCAGATCCTGAAATGTAATGAGACTGGGAAAATGTTCTGTGTTGCTGTCACCCACTTGAAAGCTCGCAATGGCTGGGAGAGGTTTCGATCTGCTCAAGGTGCTGATCTTCTTGAAAATCTAAAACAGATCACCCAGGATGCAGAGATCCCTCTTATAGTCTGTGGTGATTTCAATGCTGAGCCTACCGAAGAAGTGTATAAGCAATTCGCTGAATCTAGTCTAAACCTAAACAGTGCTTATAAACTGCTGAGTACAGATGGGCTAACAGAGCCTCCATACACCACATGGAAGATCCGTCCTTCTGGAGAATGCAGTCATACAATTGATTACATCTGGTATTCACAACAGGCCTTAAAAGTAGATGCTGCCCTCAGCCTTTTAACTGAGGAACAAATTGGACCCAATAGGCTCCCATCTTTCCATTACCCATCAGACCATCTTGCTTTAGTATGTGACTTCACCTTTAATGAAAATCCAGAGAACTTTTAAAGATGAGGTGAAATATAAAGCGGAATAGGAGTGTTTTAATGTACTGTGTTTGTACAGGCAAAGACTTTTATCGTGGATTTCTAAAGACGGGGGGGGGGGTGGGATGGGAAAAGTATTTATGAATGGAGAATTAATAATCTACTCCTATAGCCTTGACTTTTTTTCTTAACTCCATGCTATGACAAAAAAGACAAAAATATGCCTGGCTAGCTGCTTATGCTATGTTTCCTTTTTTCTGAAGAAAAGTACTGCTGTTATTCAACTCTTAATTGTAACAAAGTTTTTCCTCCCATATCTAAGCTCTTGGGTTGTAAAGTAAAACAGTTGCACTGCATGTAACAGCATTGTCCTGTCTGTCAATAGTCGGTCAGATGAATACCCAGGGTTCGTCCCTCCCATATTGGACCGAATGACCAAATTTTGTTCAGCATAAAGTTTAATATGAGCCTCAGTTAATTTTTTGCTGAGGTTGTCTTGGATTGTGCCTTCTACTTGAATAAATTAAGTGTTAATCTCGAACCTGCGTATTGCTTTTGAAGATATTTCAAAGTGTATTAGAATTTCTACAGTTGTTCACCTACATGGAAAGTAGTACAGGAAGTCCTCAACTCAAAAACACAATTGAGCCTCAAACTTCTGTTGCTAAGTGAGACATTTGTTAAGTGACTTTTGTCCCATTTTGCGACCTTGCTTGCCAGTTGTTAAGGGAATCATTGCAGATGTTAAGTTAGTTAACTCGGTTGTTAAGTGAATCCGGCTTCCCAGTTGACTTTGCTTGTCAGGTCACAAAACAGATCACATGACCTCCAGGACATTGCAGACATCCTAAACATGAGTCAGTTGCCAAATATCTGAATTTTGATCACATGACCATGCAGATGCTACATCAGTCATAAATGTGAAAAATATTCATTAGTCACTTTTTAGTGCTGTTGTAGCTTTGAACCGTCACTAAACAAACTGTTGTAAGTACCTATAGTGTTATGCCAAGAAGGATTTGTCTTGATTCTTACTTCAACCTGGCTATAGAATGAGTATTTTGGTGGTCTCAGTATATACTTCCTATCTAAACAAGCTGAAATTTTACTTTCTAGTTTCTCAGGATGTTTTAAGACATCTTGTATCTGTATTCTTCCTTCTTTGGGGCTATACACAAAGATTTCTCTACTGCCACTCCAGTTACTTCTCTGGAAAATTTTTGTGATGTTGCCTTTTGACTGATGGTCCATCTTCCAATGTGTGAATCACAGGTCATGTATCTGCAGACAACTGACTTTCGTTACAGATGTCTGACCTAAGTTTGCTGCTGCAGTTAGTTTATGAATTTGTTCTCTTAGGTACCCGATTTCTACAGAGATTATTTGGTAAGGATCAAGTTTTGGTAAAGATAAGAAGCCCCGGTACTATTGGATTTCTTTAGGCTCAATTCCACCCATTTCCCTTTTAACTATTTCAGCAAAGAATCATTGAAAATGGGACTCTGCAGGCTGCAGCCTTCTGGCTGGAAGATTAAGTGTTCTGAGCATTCCTTCTTACCAACATGGGGTGGAAAAGATTTTTTTTTCAAATTGTCAGAAACTGTGTCATACAATGTCTAGCCTATCAAGATGGAGATAGAAGGGTTCTGACTGGCTTTCAACCCTTCCATATTGCAGGAGGGCTCAAAGCTGGTATCACTCCTTATTTCAGGGGTCTTTAAACTTGGCCCTTTTATGACTTGTGGACTTCAACTCCCGGAATTCCTCAGCCAGCATGCCTGTCCACAAGTCATAAAAGGGCCAAGTTTGAAGACCCCTGCCTTATTTCCACGTTCCATCAACTCTGGAGTTCTAATAGGCCCATCTCCCAAGCTGTTTTTCCAGACCAAGTAGGTCTCTTGCTTGCAGCTTCCTACTGGTTTGCTGGGCTGAAATGTTTTTTCACATTGCCAGGATAGCATTGATCTTTAGCTCACAAAATGGAGCTGATGGAAAGTGGGTGCTTTGTCTCCAAGACAAAGCATAAAGACTGGAGCAAAGGCTTTCCTCCATGGGACAGGGAAAAGATTTAATCATTGCCTTGCTGCCTGAAAAGATGGAACCAACTCTCTGTGGTTGACTCCATCTACAGCATGGGTGTCAAACTGGCCACATCATGTGACATGTCACGACATATCGCAACTCTTTTTGCATTGCCGGCAATGGGGTGGGCACAGCTTTGGTATGATGAAACCGGCTCGCGGACCGGCAGTTTGACACCCCTGATCTACAGTGACTAAGAGTGCTTAGATTTTACTCAGTATTTTGTAGTACAACATGAAAGAAGACTTGGAACTCTTATGCATAACATTGGCACAATTTAAATGATGTCATCCTTATTTGGATTCAGGCCATATTGTCAAGAATGAAAAGAGGTTGACACACATTTTCCTTTCAAGGAGTATTTTTCTAAGACATAATTCCAATTACAATAGCAAGTTCTTCCAAGGAATATATTACCACAAATGATAATTGAATCCCAGAAAAATACCTTGCAATATGACATTTGCTATAAAAGATAAAATGGAAACCAGTAGAAGTGAAGACATCTTATTTTTACAGAATTCTACATGTAAAGAACTGCAAATGGCCAGAATGCAACAACTGAGATAAAATATTGTCCAATATTCTTTGAAATACTTAATATAAATGTTAAAGAACTCTTACTTACACTGCAAATAATTCCAGCATTATCATATATAATATGATCTCAGATCAAGCTGTATGTTCTAGCTTTGTTCACTTTCCCACTTTCCCCATTAAGCATTACCTTAATTTCAACCATAGCTAACTGTAAAATTTGGAGATATTTCCCCCACATAGTTCAAGGAGAGAAAGCTGTTGATGACCTGCCCTTTAAAATACAGAACTTGGGAAAGCAAATTTCTACAAAACTTCTCTCACAAAAGAAAGCCAAAGTAGAGAAGCCATATGTGAAAAACTAAGTATACCTTATGATTCAATAGCTCGTAGAACCACTTCTGTAGCAATAACTTTTAAGTAATTGTTTTCTGTATTACTTTATCAGTCTCTTACATCGTTGTGAAGGAATTGTGACCCATTCTTCTTTACAACTTTGCTTCAGTTCATTGAGGCTTGTGGGTATTTTTTTTAATGCATAGCTCTCTTGAAGTCCCACCACAGCATTTGTCAGGTTGAGGCTTGGACTTCTGGCTATTGCAACACTTTTTTTTTCTTTTTCAGCCATTCTGTTGTAGATTGGCTGGTATGCTCAAGTTCATTGTCCTGTTGCATGACCCAATGTCACCCAAGCTTTAGCTGTCAGACATGTGGCCTCACATTTGGCTCTAGAATACTTTGGTATGCAGAAGAGTTCATGGTTGACTCAATAACTGCAAGGTACCCAGGTCCGGTCACTGCAAAATAAGCCCAAATCATCAACTCTCCAACACTGTGCTTGATGGTTGATATGGGATGTTTGAGCTGATATGCTGTGTTTGATTTTCACTGAATGTGGCATTGTGCCTTATAGCCAAATATCTCCACTTTGGTCTCATATATCCAAAGGACAGTGTTTCATAAGTGTTTCTTATGATTTGTTCAGATGCAACTCTGCAAACCTAAGTCGTGCTGCCATGTTCTTTTTAGAGAGAAGAGGCTTCACCTGGCAACCCTTCCAAACAAAAGATACCTGTTCAATCTTTTTCTAATTGCACTGTCATTAACTTTAATATTTAACATGCCAACTGAGGCCTGTAGAGTCTGAGATCTAACTCCTGGATTTTTTTGCAATTCTCTGAGCATTGCGCATCCTGACCTTGTGGTGAATTTGCTGAGATGTCCACTCCTGGGACAAGAGATCTAAATCCAGCCCACCTTGAATTCCCTTGATTCTTATCTACTGCCAGTTTGCTTTGATTGTTAGTGGTTCAGATTTTTGTAGAGAGCTTAATCTTGCAATAAACCTTTATATTCATTTGAACTGCCTGAACTCCTGATTTCTTGAGCTTGGCATCTGTATCTCTTCCCCCTCCTTTTCAAGGAATCCCATTCACTCCTATGAAGCTGGCTATTGCTACTCTAATTCATTCTGAAACTGGAAGACAGTATAACACAAGTGTAAAGACAATTCCAGTCACCCAATTACAACTGTTAATAGTTTAAATTAAATTATCATACAAGTCCTTTCCACTGTGTTATCAACTAGGTATCTCTCTTATATTCAGTAGAATAACTGAGATAATTAACTTAATTCTTTGGTATATTTCCAGTTCTGTGCTATTTCTGAAACTAAGTTTTGAGACCGGAAGTAGAAAACTATGTAGCACTGTTGATCTCGATAAACACTAGAGGCACATTAAGGCTTGGAAAAAAGAGACACCAATTTTAAATTTCATATCTGTATTTCAGTAAAACCTACTTGAATACACTTTGAAACAAGAGTACAACAAAATAGAATATACTTTAAATGTTGAATATACAAACTATTATAGTTCATTTTGAACACTGGTACTTTCCTCTAACTTCAACTAAAAAATATACAGGCTTTTAATCTACCTGACAAGAGTTCATGCCAAGCGTGACCTTTCAAGTGACAGAGTAAAAGCTGAAATTGAAATGTATGCAGAGATGTCCAGGCGAAGTGGATGATCCAAGCAGCAAGAGGCTAAACAACCTCTGGCCGCTTTGACCACAATTAAGAAACCAACAGACTTGATTACCATACAAAATATGTTACAGGTAATTCTATAACAATACTGTGCTAGGTATAAGATTTTTTTAAAAAATTGTTTTAATAAAAAATGCTTTACACAAACAAGCCATTAGCTTATTTCAACAAAGGTAACTGAAAATCAGTCTAAGGCTTTTGTTTTAAAATCTGCTTAAGCTGCATGGGACAAAAAAAAAAAATCTCTAAGTCTTCAACTTCTTGTAAGAAGCTCTTTTAATTCTTTTCTTATTCACATTCAAAAATACCTAGTAGCAGAGTTTTTTCACGTAGCACCAGTTGAACACTGTGAGTACACAGTAGTAATTGCTGGTATGCATATTCAAATGCATCAAATGTGTCTTGTGTAACAATGAGCTTCTTCTAAATGCTCCCTCCATCTACATAAGCCAAGAATCTCGCACAGAACCAGTTTAGTGTTCTATGTCTTAGTGTAACTGGTAATGCAGTGAGCCTCCTGAGTGCTCACCTGCTATTCCTTTCGGCTCCAGGAATTTTCTTTCTTCATCAGCTTAGCCCCGATTTACAAGAGGCAACTGTGTCAGTGTGTAGATCTAGTTCAATTCCCACTGAAACATGGGACATTATTTTGCTTCCTGTAAATTTCTAATATCTGCATAACTATTAACAATTTTTTAAAAAATCAGTTCTTTCACTTCTTCTTTGTGTCCAATTCCCTGGCTTCCTATGTATGTCAGTTTGCTTAATTCCACAATGGACTATGTAATTAATGTTCACAGCTGCTTTTTTTCATTTTTCGCATGTTATTATTCCTTCTGTTTTCACTTGTACAGGTAGGGCAATAGCTGAGGGTGTACTAACAACGACGACATGAGTGACTGTTTTGGTTCCATCTGCTGGTTTCTCTTCTTGTACTAGTTGCAGGGTTTTAATCTCCCGTTCCTGCTTTAAAGCCACTGCTTCAGATTTGACCTCTGGACTTTTTATAACAGCACTAATTACCCTGGGTGGAGTATGGCTACTTGCCTGCTGGGCAGGCAATGATAATCTCATCACTGGTGTCCCGTGGGCTAAAGATACTGGAGTAAGTGCTCTGACAGCCAGAGGTGTTCCAACTATGTTAATACTTCCTGTCCCTGGCAAACCAGTTTTTGTTTGCAACTGGCATTGCGCAAGTTGTGTAGCAGGGATGGTGATTATTTTTGTAGGCTGCATTGTGATTTTCTCTCCATTTTCAGCAGATGATGACATCATTGTAGGGATTGTTTGGATAACTACCTTTGGGGTTGTTGCTGTTGTTGGGCTTGTGCTGGTAATCAATGGCGACCCTGCATTTACTGACTGCACTGCAACAGTTGATATTTTCTGTCCCAGAGATGTCATTACAACAGGCACTTGCATAGCCACCCGAACAGTTCTGTTAAATAGATGAAGATAAACACTACATTAAAACCAAAAATCTGTGACATAGATACATGCTTTAACTAAACAAAAGATCTTTTTAATCAAAAAGAAACAATTATATTTTATAAATCTGAAGTAAAGACAAAGGTTTCTTTCCCTACTCCAATTCCAAACTGAATTCTTTGAAGTTTCAGAACTTATTTTATCACTCCTTATTGCTTCTAAAATAAAGATAGGATATAAATCTAATAAATAACAGAACAAAGCAAAACAAAACACTTGTCATTTTAGATTAGCCCAACAGTTTTTATTTTAAGTTGACAAATTCCTAGTATTATAAATTTGTTAGATAGATAGATAGATAGATAGATAGATAGATAGATAGATAGATAGATAGATAGATAGATAGATAGATAGAGGCAACAGTTAAACCATTTGCCAAAAAGGCAAGAGATAGACTTTCTTTTCAAAACAGCTTTGCCTGAGGCCCAGAACCACACATAGCTCTTCAAAATTATAGATACAGGCCTAGAGCCCTCCAAAAATTGCTTCAGGCAATCCTCAACTTATGACCAGTCCATGTAACAATTGTTTAAAGTGACAATAGTCTTTGAAAAAGTGCTTCATGGCTTATAAAGCACTTCCAACTGTCAAAAAAAACATTGTGACTCTTCTGCCACGCAGTCACAGGATTGTGAACTGGGCACTTGGCAATCGTTTGCACTTAATGACTGATTGCCAAGTGCCCAACAATCGTCTGATCACTATTTACAATCTTTCCCAGAAACTCAATGCTTTCCATTTCAATTTCAGCAGGGAGAAAAATTTCAGCCCATGAATAGAGAGACACTCGTGTGTAGCCTGCGCTCGGCCTCCCAGGGCTCCACCCAGAGTTCTTACCTTATTGCTGTCTCTCCACTATAACACTGAAAATCCTCCCTGCAGAACAGAGAGAAAGGCTCAGCTCAGGAACGCGGATGGGTGTAAAAGCATACACACATGTAGGGGAGAGAAAAGGCAGAAAGTGGGAGAAGAGTACACACATGCGTGTGTGTGTGTGAGTGTGTGTGTGTGTGTGTAAGAGAAGGGATGAATTGGGAGTGAGCAACAATAGCTGAATATGGGGGGGGGAAGAGGGCGGGGAGGAGGAAGACTAACAGGACGGCCAAGAGAAAAAGGGTAGGAAAAGGAAGGGGAAGGGAGTGTCACTCTTTGTCACTCTTGGGCTTCCTCCAGCTCTGCCATCCCTTTCCTGCCATCTGAGCCAAAGGCCTATGTACTATTCTTTGGGGGGGGGTACCTCCCAACAGCGGCAGCTGGACTCTTGGAAAAACCAACTCTCTCAACTGTTTCTCTGCTGGGAAATGGGATTCCTTTCCAAACTCATTTTAGCAAATTCCTGTCACTCCTAAGCATGTGTGGAGATTTAGCATGCTTGCATTTCAGAAGGGAGGATTTTCAGAACCAGAGCAGAGAGACAGCAGTTAAGGTAAGGAGGATCAGCACAGGAAGCAAGCGTGGTGGATGGTAGGGAAGATTTTCAGCCACTGAGCAGATAAGAGACTCAAACATGGCCTGCATCAGGCCTCCCATGATCTCCACCAACCCAAAGCACCCAGCACATCTTGCCTGAGACTCCACTTAACAGCCTATGAGATTGCTTAACAACCATAACCAGGAATGCTGGAATTGCAGGTGTTGGGTGAAAGGGTCACTTGATGTCTTAATGACTGCTTTGCTCAACAACCAAGATTCTGGTCCTAACTGTGGTTGTTTAAATTAATGACTACCTGTATAAAAACTTTGAACAATATCACAAAAGCAAAAAAATAAAAAATATCCCTGGAAATAATTATGTATCATATTTTATTTTTTAAAAATAAACAAATGATTTAAAATTAATTTTTGCCCCAATTTAGCATAACATATGGATCTTGATCTAGGCCAGTGTTTCTCAACAATAACTTTTGATGCATGGACTTCAGGGAAATTCTGAAAGTTGAAGTCTGCATATTTTAAAATTGCTGAGGTTGAGAAACACTGACCTAGGCTACTCAGTATGTAAATCATATAGCACTAACCTGGGAGCAGTTGTTGCTGAAACGGTAGTTGTGGTGGGAGAACAAGATGACATATCATGTCCAGGTGAGGAGATATTCACTCTGGCAACAGATTTTTCTGATCTTGTGCAGGTCAACTGAGAAGTGCTTTTTCCTGTGCGAGCAGAACTCGCTGTTTTCAAGAGGTTTTCTGCAGACAGTGATACACGTTCCAATGATTTCTCATCAGTGGACATGGCTAAATCTTCACCGCCGCACTCACTTTTGTCATCAATAACAACAATATTTTTGGGCATTTCCTTGAATTGATATACTAGCCTTTGTCCTTCAACTTTTGCTAGAATTCCTCTTTGATAATAGTATCTGAAAGAAGTACAAAAAGCGTAGAACGTTAATCTAAATAAACTACTTCCATTAGGTTTCTAACCGTTGAGCTCTCTTGTTCATAAAAGTGGTACCTCATTTTTTTCTACCTAAAATTGCATATCAGTACTTAATTTTAGAAGACAAATGAAATAAATAATATTTTTCATAGGAATGAAAAAAAAGGAATATTAGTTTAAGAACATTAAAAGGGTTGTAGAGAAAGCATGAATACCTATATTATTTTTAAAAGAACTATTTCAATATCACTTTTTTCCTTTTTCTTTTCTTTACCTCAAGGCTCTTCCCATTGTCTCATAGTTCATATCAGGCTTGTTCTTGTGTTTTCCCCACAACTTGGAAACTGCTTTTGAATCCACAAGTTTAAAAATGCCCTTTTCTCGCTGAGTCCATTTGATATATCGAGGGCATGTATTTTTATCTTGAAGTAAATCCAGCAGGAATTCCCACAAATAGGTTGTATTTCCTATTTGCAAAACATATATTTCAGCAAATCAAAGAGCTAATTACTTCTAAACAAACAAAACCATGCAAATAATTGAGCCAACTATTGGAATAGCATTTAAATGCTATGTTACATAGTATTTTTATGAAAGCTAGGCATATATTAAATATATTTTAAAAATGGGCAGACACCAACTTTTTGAAGGACATGCTTAAAACTACAGTTTTGTTTTCCTTATTTAAAGTATTGCGGAAATATCCACTGAAAGCTTTCTAGAGTAAGGATTCGCTATGTAATTTTTAGTATTTTTCCAATCATCTTACAAATGCATTTGTAATTTCCTAAATGAACATCCCATATTTTTACATTTGGAATGAAAGCATTATTAATTATTAATTTCATTTAAAATACTTTTATACATAAATAATCAAATAATAATAAAGAATAAATGTTGAAATTTGAAGTTATTTAAAAGATGTCATCTCCTTGCCAAAATAGTAAACTAGTTAGCATCAAATTTATTAAAAGCTTTAATTGAAATATGTATGAAAAGTATACATTATTTAAAAAGCTTATGTATTTCCCAAGAATATCTAATACTAATAACTTCAAGATTAAGTAATCAAATATTCTTCAAAGCAATATATAATCTACTATTCTTATATCAGCGAAAGAAAGAAAGATATCCAATTCATTTTTAGCAAGATTTCTAAGCAGCAAGCCAAAATGAAAGTCATTCTCAGATCTTTTTTTAAAAAGCTCCTATTCAGAATATATATGGCTATATTAAGAAACAGCCAAACATGTATGTGTCTTAATGCTACTATGAATCTGAGGGCAGGGGCAGGGGCAGGGAGGATACAGGTTTTTCTCTAAATAACTAATGTTTATCAGACAATATAAAGGTCTAAGTATGTAATGTATTATATGTAATGTAATATGTAATATACAACAAGCCACCATGTATCTACATATACAAACCACTTATTATTAATAAATACACTATATAAAGACACATTAGCAAAATATTATTTTAATATATCAAAATTTGCAAATGCTAACCAGGGAAATTAGAATAAACTTTGTGGCCAGTAATGTGTCTTCCTCTCACCTACCTAATGGAATGTATCGCCCATAACTTGTTCAACCATCAAAAAACATTAAAACAAATATTACAATCTTAAACAACTTTATTAGAGACAGATACATGATGAGACGAAGTAAATATAATGAGCAACCGAATAAGGTTAATGCACAGACATGCAACCTGTATGCAACAACAAAAAGCCAATAAGTAGACTCCCTTAGGTGCTCAAAATGACTGACCAATAATCTCTCTCCAACTACTAAGCAAAAGTGAGGTCTTATTACAGACAGACTGGTGAATCCTTGGACAGATGCCTATCATTTTTGTGGCAAAGTGCAATACAGATCTGCTTTCAAGTTGTATTTTTTTTAACTTCTCATTCTGGTCTTACACTCCTCATATTTCTTGGGAGTCTCCCTTCAAACATTAAATAAATCCAGTTCTACTTAGCTTTTTAAGATTAAACAAGACGTTGTCACTCTCCAGGATATACAACTAACACCAATACCTTCCCCTCAAATGTCCTTGAAGGCCAATACAGGAACATTTCTTACCTGGAGAAATAATGCCCTTGTGACTCTGGATACACAGAAACATGTGCTTCTCCAGTGCCTGTATTACAGAGACATTCATACTAGCTTCATCTCACCACTATTGCTTACATACTCAAGGCCCACATGACAATTTTACACCTCCCTACTGCTTTACACTCCCCTGCTATAACATATAATGCTGTCAAGTTCTGCACAGCAGTGCTTAAAATCCATCAGACTTGTACCATAAAACAGTCTTTTTGAATACCTAGTTCATCATACCAGAGGGCTCTATATTGTGGTAGATTTAGGCTCCCCCTACTCCCATCTAATGCACCTACCCTTCCATTTAGATTTATTTTAAACTTTTGATTTTTAAATATATTCTATTTTATATTTTTTAGCTTTTTATAATAATTATTATTACGTAGACTCTGATATATTTTCTATGTTTTTAGTTGATTGTACCCCTTATGCTCACCTTTGACAAAATTAATAGTAATAAGGAAATAATTTTATTAACTATATGACGATCAGGAAAGGGAAGGGAAAAGAGCTTTAACACCCCTAATTTGCAATCTCAATCTAAATTTAGTCTCTCCATTTCAGAGATCTTGAAACAACCTCATTCTACTGGAATGAAAAGGAGACCGCAAGAAAACTTTATGGAGAATTAGTGGGATGTGGTGGTTAAATTTTCTTATTAGAACTGAAAAGACTCTGGTTCAAATCCATCCTCAAGCACTGAGGGCCCCTAAATGACTTTAAGCAAGTCATTTTCTCTCGTTTGTTGTAGAATAAAACTGAGGAAGGAGTTGCTATGTACATTATATTGTGCTTTGAAGAAAAGGAGAGACTGATCAATAATAATAAATACTCTGTAAATATGCTAAATCTTACTGTAAAATCTTCAGCAGAAGGATCAAAATTTCAGCTGAAAAAAAATCACATTTCCCAATCTATGTATAAATAGAAATATATACCAGAAATCAAAACTCTAGCAGTAACTTAGTTGATTGGGGGGGGGGGACTTCAAACTCTAAAAGACTGGCTAACTTTATTGTTAGCCATTAATGTTATGGGAAATACGAAATATTTCACAATACTTAAAATAAAACATAATTAGCATATTACCTTTGCCCTCTCTTGGCTTCTTTTTTATACCCAGGTCCGGAGATGAACTGGAAATGGTTGATGGCGCTTGAGATTTTGGCTTACGACCAGCTGCAGAGAACAGTTTATTAGAATGAAACAATCATAAAAAGTAGTATTTCTCATCTTTGGTTCTTTCACAGTTTAGTTTAACAAAAATAAATCATCAAGGCTTATCTTATGCAGCTTTACAAATTCTGAAGCAGAAAGGTTAATATGTCCTACTTGCAATCTAGAGCACTATTCCAGCAGAGTAGGAAAACAGTAGAATGCAAGTGCAACTATAATTATAATCACATTTATCATGTCAGAGTAAAATTAATTGATGTATTCAGTCAATCAAAGACCATTAAGCCTCAACATGAAAATATTTCTTTTTAAGTAAGCATTTACAATTATTTACTGGCAACTCAATCTTTAACCTGTTCCAACCAAATACTAATCAGTGGAAAGCTTGCTACTTAAATAAAAATATCAAATACTAATCAGTGGAAAGCTTGCTACTTAAATAAAAATATCAATATGAATAGACTTTCTAGGCAAATGATCGTATAGAAAATATGCTGTGGGTCAGGGCTTTTCAACCTTTTCACCCATTGTACCACTTTTTGGATAAGGCCATATCCGAGTACCACCACTCGCCCAGCAAGGTTTCAAAAACTTGACCCAAAAAATAAAAAAAGGAAAAAATGAGAAAGTACAGGTAGTCCTCCACTTACAACAGTTCGCTTAGTGACTGTATGAAGTTACAACAGCACTGAAAAAAGCGAATTTCTTCCTTTCTTCCTTTCCTTCACCTCCCTCTTAGTCTCTTCCCTCCCTCTTTCCCATTGTCCCTTCCTTTCCTTCCTTTCCCTCACCTCCCTTAGTCTCTTCCTCCTTCCCTCCCTCTTTCCCATTGTCCCTTCCTTCCTTCCTTCCTTCCTTACTTACTTACCTTTTTGTCCCTTCCTTCCTTCCCTCCCTCCCTTCCATTGTTCCTTCCTTCCTTCTTTCCTTCCTTTCCTTCACCTCCCTCTTAGTCTCTTCCTCCTTCCCTCCCTCTTTCCCATTGCCCCTTCCTTCTTTCCTTCCTTTCCACTCCCTTTGTCCCTCCTTCCCTCCCTCTCTCCCCTTGTCCCTTCCTTCCTTCCTTCTTTCCTTCCCTTTTTGTCCCTTCCTTCCCTCCCTCCCTTCCATTGTTCCTTCCTTCCTTTCCTCTCTCATTGTCCCTTACTTCCCTCCCTCTTTGTCCCTTCCTTCCTTCCCCCCTCCGTACCCAGGAAGGGACAAGGGGGGGGGGGACAGGCTACCAGCGTGGCTGGTGGCTGTGCTGCCGCTGGCCATGGCAGCATGCCAAAGCTGCCTGTGCACAGGCAGAGGCAGAGGCGAACTCCGCCCAACTCACTTGCTCACGCTTCACCAGAAAACATGCTGCTTGCTAAGTTAGCAGAACGCCAGGCTACAGCTGATTCGCGCTTCTGCTAAATTTTGCAAGTGGCATGTTTTCCAGCAAAGCACAAGCAAGTTTGCTGGGCAGGAGCCCAGGAGAGCAGCTACAGCTGATCTGCGCTTCTGGGCTTCTCTGCAGAAGCATGGATCAGCCCAGATCCTGGGCTCTTGCCCAACTCGCTTGCTTGCGCGAGCGAGAATGCAGGGGCGCGGAATCAGCATTTCTGAGCCGATTCGCGCCCCTTCATACTTTGAATGAAGAACTTTAGGGGATGTGGAAAGCGAAACAGATTTAGGGCTGTATTAAGACCATAGATGTAAGGAGAGTGAAAGGGAGGCAAATTTGGGGTGGATCAGAAAACACGGAGGGGGGGAAGGTGTTAGGAAATAAGCACCAAGGTACATGGTGCCTTGCAAGGGATTCCCGAGTGTTCCGCAATTGTTTTTCCTCTCTCCTCTGCGTAAGAAAAACTTTTGCGGCATAGATCTGAAACCAGGTGAGGTTTCTTTTTTTTTTTTTTTCAAAGATAATTTTTATTAAATTTTTAAAATTTTACAAAAAGAAAAACAAAACAAAACAATCTTCCCCCCCACCTCCCCAACCCTCCCATTCCCAACCAGGTGAGGTTTCTGTGAGGTGACGCAGGAGGTCCTTGGGAGAGGCGAGGATAAGCTTGGCGTTTCCTCTCTCCCAATCCCCCTCCTTCACCCCTTCCCTGGCCTGCCTGAGACCTGAACTCGCGGCTCCGTGGCTTTTCTTTGCCTAGCCTAGCCTAGCCTAGCCTAGCCAAGCTTTCTTTTGCCCGCTCTGTTCCCGGGAGCGCCAAGGAGGTACGGCAGAAACACGTGAAGGGGAGAAGTAAAAAACAAAACAAACGCGGAGTTCCAGCCAGCAGAGGCTTGGCAGCCCGGCTGCCGAGGAACAGGAGAGCGCAAAGCCGAGGAGAAGAAGGTGGCAGTTTCCTCCCAAAGGTGGCTCCTTTTCTCCACCCCTTCCCCTGGGTTTGTGGAGGAGTTTCTCATCTCTGACCTGACAGGTGCTCCTTCAAGCCCGCCACGAGCTCTCTCGGCCCCTTTGCTTCTCCCCCCGCTTTCGTGAGGATTGCGGCACCCTTGGGAAGCTGATCATGCTTTGAACCTTAGGAGAGGAGGAGGAGTCCCTTCCTCCTTCCCTCCCTCTCTCCCTGTCAAGACCCCGAGGGCTCGACATGAACGGGTGGGGGAGGGGTCGAGAATGATGTGCGAGGTGGCAAAGGAGACCAGCGGCCGTCGCCAGACCTCCCAGCTGACAAGTGCAAGTTTGGGGGGTTGCCAGCTGACGGGTGCAGGAGTTCGGAGCTGCAGCGGCCTCCCCCTTTGCTGACCTGTGTGCACGAGAAGAAATCAATCTGGTTGCTGCACAATGAGTCCCTGGGGAGGGCGGGGCCTTGCTCTGCACCTGCGGTCTTCATGCGCCCCCTGCAGGGCACATTCGGTAGTTTGTGGAGACTGCTGCCAAGCAGCATATTTTCCACAAACAAGTGAGCTGAGAAGGAGCGCAGCGGGGGGGGGAAGGCGACGCCACGGGGGAGGGAGGAAGGCGACGCCGCGTACCACCAGCCAGGTGGTCGCGTACCACCAGTGGTACGCGTACCACCGGTTGAAAAGCCCTGCTGTGGGTCACTGAACTGTTCTGCTGCTTTTTTTCTTGTTATTTTAACTGTCTTACAAACATAAACAAAATACCTTTCTTTTTTTTCATGGGCTCATGGATTTCTGGAGAAGTTCGTGAAGGAGATGTATCCATTGGTTCAGATTCCTCAGTAGATACTTCCACAACAGTTTCTGTAATTACATCTGGTCTCATTGCAGCATGGATGAACTCTGGAGTTGACACACAAGGTGGAACAAAAACTTCCACTAAAGAAAGCAAATAAATAAATAAGATAAATATTTTTAAAAAAAAATCCAGATTTTTCAAATTATAATTGAGCTCAATCTATTTCAAATTTTGGAAACATTCCCCAAAGGTGCCAAATACAAGATAAAGTTTTCTCATCATTCATCTGCATTCAGTTGCTAGAATACCCAATACTGGGTATTCTGCCTTTGTTATATGATACATGGGCCTGATTTGCACTTTTTTAAATCAAAGAGTAATTGTTTTCAGTATTGGAATGTTTGTATACATTACAGTCTGGAAATAACAATGCTCTATGTCAGGGGATCCCCAACCCCTGATCCATGGACTGGCATCAGTCCGTGGCATGCCAGAAACTGATCTGTGCATACAAGTGAAGCCCCATCCGCAGGATACAGGCAACACGTAAAACCATGCCCCCTCTGGTTTGCAAAAAAGCCTCTCTCCACAAAACTGGTCCCTGTTGCCCAAACGGTTGGGGACCTCTGCTCTATGTGATGTTCATTTTATAAATTGAGACAATTAGAATTTTCTATTGAAATGAACAACAACAACAACAACAATAATAATAATAATAAGCTGGAAGGGACCTTGGAGGTCATCACGTCCAACCCCCTGCTCAGGCAGGTAACCCTATATCATTTCGGGCAAATGGCTGTTCAGTTTCTTCTTAAAAATCTTCAGTGTTGGAACATTCACCGCTTCTGAAGGTAGGTTGTTCCACTCGTTAATTGTTCTAATTGTTAGTTAAATATTTCATTTTAGCTAATCCATGGATATATAGTCTAGTTTGTTCCTCATTAGATATCATTTCCTTCCATTTTATAAACTGTGACATTATCACTAGATACAAACCACAAATTGCTTGTTAAGATAATAATGAAACCTACAATGAATATGGATAATTTTAATTTGATGATACAAACAGAAAGAAAACTAAAACCAAGATATAAGAAAACATTTTTTCTATTAGCTTCGGTTGAGAAAACTTGAGATAGATTTATTAATTGATGTATAGATCAATCTAAAAAGATTCTTATTACATGGAGTTTTCTGGAAACAGAAAATGTGCAGTATATGTTCCAAGCATCTGTAATTCATACAGTAATTATGAATTACAGCAAATTGTTTTCATGCAATAATGCAATATTGCACTGGGTAACATTACATATCACATGCAGTATATAATTTGTAGACCAGTTTTAGGAACAAAATTACTTATGCCCTATGAGCAGAAAGGCATAATTAAATATAACCAATTAATATTCCACTCTTCTCATCCGAATTAAGGTAACATGAAGGTCTGGAAACTGTTTATACTGAACATTACCTAGGGGTTAGCTATATGGTAAAAAGGATAAGACATTTAACATGATTCACATACCTGGACTTCTAGCATCTCTTAAACAGGTTGGAGATTCCATATGAAGCAAGGCTTCTGCTGCTTCAATTGTCTTATCTGAACAGTGCACATTGCTGCCATGAACAGATGCTTCCACTGTAAAAAAATAAGACATTTGTTTGACAGATATTGTGAGCCACAAGTTTCATATGCCATATGTTATTTATACACATGGTATTAGACAAAAATATATATTAGATATATATTCTCATTTTTTGAGATGAGAGTGTATTACTTTCTTTTACAAACCTCAAAATCTAAAACCTAGTGGTTAAGTTATCATACTAAGCCAAAATCAAATCAAACACATGATGGCTTAGAGAAGTAGAAACCTAGTTTACTTAGTTCCAGAAAATTAGACAAAAATGTACATAAAATGTACATGAAATTCTGCATAAAGTTCATTATTCTAGAACAGCCTACTTCATTCAGTCTCCTCCAGAATAAACGAACAACCAAAAAAATTAATTAGCATACTGTCAAATTGTATGCTTTAATGAAACCCTAAAAGAGCAGAAGCTGCCATAACTTATGTATGTTACAAACATATACCTTGATTGGGGTGTCTAGACTGTTGCAGTCAACTGTTATGTCCAGTTCAATCCACAAGAACATACAAGTATATTTATAGACGTAGTCCAAGAAGATATGCCAGTAGTATATAATATATGATGTGGAGTACAAAATCATAACAATAGTGATGTCAAATAATAAAAAAAAACAAGACAGTCCAATCGATCCCCTGAGAGACACACACACAAGAAATATAAAGTTGTACCCTAACTTTCATTCAGAAACCTGTAACATAGCAATATCTGGGGAAACCAATGCGGAGCTGACAACTGCAGTGAAAAAAGGAGTCAGTGAATGGATTGGCTCCTTGGAACTTTTCTCCAGATCAAGGAGAGAATAAGGATCAACCACCAGTTTCCTCCATACAGAATTTCCCTGCAGAGAAAAAATAAAATAAATATTTCCAGCAGGTTTGAGAGCTCTGGGAGTTGGCCATCTTGCCTGAGGTACGATTCAGTACCTTCCTTCAAAGGAACACAGGATGGTCTCTCTCTCTCTTTAGGAAGCTGCTTATTATTTCCTTATGAAGAACCTTCTGGACGGCAGGTGAAGGACATGTTACATTAGAACAGGAAACTGTCCTACCTTGGAAGAAAGAAGTTCTATGTAAGTTTAGGGATTAAAAAGAAAAAACACTTTAATTTTTGAAAAACAGCAAAAGGGAGACCAGAATGCTGATTTTGAAAAGTTAAATGGATAGATTGACTTGAAAGAATATTCCCTGTGAAGTGTTTCAAAATGTTATAAAAGAATATATGAAGATTTTGAAATTGTCAGAAATCCTTACACGGAAAGTTTTGTTGACTGGAAAATAAACAACTGGTAAGAGATAACTTGAAAGTTGACTACAGGGAATCAGAGAGAACTAACAATTACAATTAAAGAAGAAGCAGGCCATTAATACAATAGATCAATACTATTTGACTAGAAGAATCTAAGGCTGTTTGCGAACAATGAACTCAAAATTACTTACAAGATTGCCTGATACTATAACAGAGGATATAGAACAACGTATCTTACTGGATAAAACAGAAACCGATGCCAATTTGAATGTGGATTTTTTTTTTAAATGCCAGATTATAAAGGTGATATAGAAAAAAAGATGTTGTAGACCTGAAAATGGATTTAAAAATATCAGAAGAGCGATATGGAAAAAGATACCACAATGGATTTACAAATAAAAGCACCTACAAATAATAAATCAGAAGAGTGATAGGAAAGCCTTATGTTGGATTTACAAAAAAACGTATTAAACTAATGAAGTTGTCCTGAAACAAAGTAAGAAATCAGCTTGTGGAATATTATCTGATAGGTTTAAAGATTAAGAAAAAATAAACAAAAGGAATTTGAAGTAGATTTATTTGATCAGGGTTAATATATTGTGACTTCTGAGAGGTATTAATGGAATTTCTTTTTAATAAGCACCGAATGACAAGATTTTAAAAATCTGTTTATAAGTAGGAAGTGATAAATTAGAATACAAAATGGACTTATTAGATTAAGGTTAAAAGGTGTTAAGTTACTGGAATCATTTATACTTATCTGGAAAGAAGGGGAAGTTATCTTTTATAAATATTTATTGCTTACATTTTATTTTATTTTTCAATCTTTTTGTATTTCTTTTTCTTTACTTTCTATATTTTCTTAGTTTATATTAGCCATATATCTTTAAATCCTTACAATTATTTCAAGAAAAATTTGTAACATGTACCTTCAATTATTATTTTAAAACTGATTCTTCACTAAAGCCAGACCTTTTTTTAAAAAAAAAAAAAATAACATTTGCCTCAGTATTTTGTTTATACTATAATATTTTGTTTGCTTACTTAAAAGGGGGAAATAGTTGATGGCTAATGTTTAAGGTCCTGTATCACTAAAAACACCTTACTTTATTAAATATTGTGATACTGAACAACCAATACATAAAAAAACACATATAGACAATTTTGGTTTTATATCAGTGGAAACTGCTAAAATCAGTAGCAGATAGTACCACCTGCTGCATATTATCTATACACAGGAAGGTGTACACAAATACATTCACAATCTCCTTCTCTCTCCACTTGCTCTTTCCATTTATGGAAATCTATTCAAAGCTAAATCCTTCCAGCTGAGCTGTCAGCATCTAAAGATATCTTTAGAATAAGCTGGATCACTTATCAACAGTGCTGGAGAAACTCATGAGGATTCAACTGGTGCTTCGTTGCTGGAACTTCAAATGATCTATTCTGTTAACTTCAAAATTCTAAACGGAATTAGACAAGGAAAAATATTTTACTCATTGTCTTTTCAGACATAAATCATGTAAGAAAGCTACCTCAGAAGGAATTATGGAAGAATATTTCAATAAACAACCCCAGTTTTTCTAAAACAGCTTATGATATCAATCATTACCATTACCGAAGAGCAAGGTTTCAAAACCAGCTACCCAACCACAACAGTGAAGATAAGGCAAATAACCGTTATGAAAAATGGAAAAGGACAGACCTATATGCATGCAAAACTGCCATTCTTTTCAAATATTCTTTTCAAATATTTAGAATGAGATGGCTTTCAGCAGGCATGATTATTACCTCAGATACTGTTTCAAGAGGTTTATCTCTAAGTAGCAGCTAGAAATAACTCAATAATCATACAAACCGCAAATTAAGCTATAAAGGAGCCTATAGGGAAATAAATAGCTTTCCATCCTTATTGAAAAGGAGAATCAGTCAATTTTAGAATTAGTTACTAGGAAAAAAGCATAATACTTTCAAGAAAAAGTTCTCAATATACTCTTCCAAAGCCTACCATTTAGCACTTGGGAAGGTGTTTATTATTCTAGACAGTATTACCAATATTAATAAATAACTTTTTGAAAATGTTATACTAGCCAAGATTTTTGTTGTTGGTGGTGGTGTTAATTGCGAAGTCGTGTCCGACCCATCACGACCCCATGGACAATGTTCCTCCAGGTCTTCCTGTCCTCTACCATCTTCTGGAGTCCATTTAAGTTCACACCTACTGCTTCAGTGACTCCATCCAGCCATCTCATTCTCTGTCGTCCCCTTCTTCTATTGCCCTCAATCTTTCCCAGCATTAGGCCCTTCTCCAGTGAGTCCTTCCTTCTCATTAGGTGGCCAAAGTATTTGAGTTTCAACTTCAGGATCTGGCCTTCTAAAGAGCAGTCGGGGTTGATCTCTTCTAGGACTGACCGGTTTGAACGCCTTGCAGTCCAAGGGACTCGCAGGAGTCTTCTCCAGCACCATAGTTCAAAGGCCTCAATTCTTTGGCGCTCAGCCTTTCTTATGGTCCAACTTTCACAGCCATACATTGCAACTGGGAAAACCATGGCCTGGACTATACGCACTTTTGTTGGCAGGGTGATGTCTCTGCTTTTTAGTATGCTGTCTAGATTTGCCATAGCTTTCCTCCCCAGGAGCAAGCGTCTTTTAATTTCTTGGCTGCAGTCCCCATCTGAGGTGATCTTGGAGCCCAGAAAAATAAAATCTGTCACTACCTCCATTTCTTCCCCATCTATTTGCCAGGAATTGAGAGGGCCGGATGCCATGATTTTGGTTTTCTTAATGTTGAGTTTCAAGCCAACTTTTGCACTCTCCTTCTTCACCCGCATCAAGAGGCTCTTTAGTTCCTCTTCACTTTCTGCCATTAGAGTGGTATCATCTGCATATCTTAGGTTGTTGATATTTCTCCCGGCAATCTTAATTCCAACTTTTGATTCATCTAGCCCTGCCTTTCTCATGATGTGCTCTGCATATAAGTTAAATAGGCAGGGCGACAGTATACAGCCTTGCCGGACTCCTTTTCCAATTTTGAACCAATCAGTGGTTCCGTGTCCAGTTCTCACTGTTGCTTCTTGACCCGCATATAGGTTTCTCAAGAGACAAATGAGATGGTCTGGTACTCCCATCTCTTTAAGAACTTGCCACAATTTGTTGTGATCCACACAATCAAAGGCTTTTGCATAGTCAATGAAGCAGAAGTAGATGTTTTTCTGGAACTCCCTAGCTTTCTCCATGATCCAGCGTATGTTGGCAATTTGATCTCTAGTTCCTCTGCCTCTTCGAAATCCTGCCTGTACTTCTGGTAGTTCTCGATCCACATACTGCTGGAGTCTAGCTTGTAGGATTTTAAGCATAACTTTACTAGCATGTGAAATGAGTGCAATGGTGCGATAGTTTGAACATTCTTTGGCATTGCCTTTCTTTGGAATTGGAATGTAAACTGACCTTTTCCAATCCTGTGGCCACTGTTGAGTTTTCCAAATTTGCTGGCAAATTGAGTGTAGCACTTTTACTGCATCGTCTTTTAAGATTTTGAATAGCTCAGCTGGAATACTGTCACCTCCACTAGCTTTGTTGTTGCTCAGATTTTCTAAGGCCCATTTCACTTCACATTCTAGGATGTCTGGTTCGAGGACAGTGACCATCTCACTGTGGTTAACTGGGACGTTAAGCTCATTCTTGTATAGTTCTTCTGTGTAGTTTTGCCACCTCTTCTTAATCTTTTCTGCCTCTGTTAGGTCCCTGCCATTTTGGTCCTTTATCATGGCCATCTTTGCATGAAACGCAACTAAATTCTACATAAAGAAATCTGTACAAACATGTTGGCCAAATCTCACATGGCAAAAATTATGAAAAAGAACTGATAAGAATTAGGAAGTCAATCAAAAAAAAAAAAAACAACCAAAGCACAAATATATTATCATTTTACCACAGAAACATTTAATGCCTAACTAGCAGAAAAATGTAGATTTTCTTTTATTCCTCAAAACGAGAGCAAAATGATTGCCATGAATTAATCACACATGTTCAAATTTTTCTTGTTCACTCACCATAGAGAACCAGAATTAGGAAAGATGGAGAATGAGTTGAATCATTGATCTGTCAGGTTCATTTTAACCATGCTTATTAAATAAAACCATAGTTGAGTGTATTTACAATGTATTCTAAGCCACAATAAAATAAACTAAATAGCATTTAGCACAATCCATATTTGCTTTATTTGGAAGCTGTTTGGTAGCTTCTGACTTGGATGTAACGAGAAACTATAATTAACTGAATCTTCCCATTTTTACAGATGGTCCTGAACTTACAATGGTCACTAACAGAGACCATTCAAAGTTATGAGGTACTTACAACCCAGTTTTGAAATTCCAATGGTCAGGATTCCCCATGATTACATGTCAGGCATTTGGCAACTGGCCCACATTTACATCTGTTGGCAGCATCCCACAGTCAAATGATTGCATTTTACAACATGTTTGCTGAAAACTGGCGTTTACTCAAGAGGAGAGTCTGTACTGTCAGGCACCCATCCTTTGGAACTGATTAATCCATATTAAATTGTGTCCCTCCACAAAAAAGTTAAGGCGAGTCACTACTTTCAATTTGAAATAAATTATTTGATTTGGAATCAATGTGTGGTGTGTTCTCTTCTAATGTATGCTTGAACAAAGTAAGCAGTCTAATTGTCTCTAAACAGCAGGTATTTTCAACCTTCTTGTCAATTGATACTGTATTCTCATCCATTACAAGGCATATTAATAACATTAAGTGAAATATCAAATAACTCTAATAATGATATATATTAAATATGCAATAGTACGGCTTAGCATTATATATAAATTTCAATAATTTGTAGAGTCAACCAACATTATCCCTCAATTTACCACAAGGGACCAAGGCTGATAGATAGCCTGTTTTAGGCTACAAATTTAAGACAGATGGTATCTGAAAAATAAATAGTAAAGTGTAGGCCAGCTTTTAGCTACTATTTTAGATTTTAATCTCAAATTAATATTGATACTTTGCCAGCAATATGTTAATTATAATAGCCTACTAACTGCAGTATAATTAGTAACTAGAGTATTGTAGCTGCAGTTTACAAAAAAGAAAAAGTTCAAAGAATACATTTTCCAATATAAATATCTAAACAGTCATATCAATATAATTTGTAAAATGTATGCATTTTTCAGGAGATATTATTCTATTATCACAATAATTAAATTCAAAGATACAGGACAATTTTTAAAAAACTTTAAATCATATATTTAAATTGATGCCCATATGCATCCTGAATTATACCATATGTTTTAATCACTGCATACTACCCTGAGGTCAACCTGTATACTTGAATAAAGGGAACAAGAAAGCACAAACGTAATCTGTTTGATTAATTACTGACAAGCCACTAAAAGATGTTTTTAAAACTTTGATACTGTTATCCCCATTGCTATTGCTGATATAATACAACACTCCTACAACTAAATATGAATCCAGAAATAACCAATTTAATTTTTTTCCCCGATATTCCTCTTTGTTTCCATAATTCTTTTGTTGTTGTACTGTTTATTTGAAACTAGAGGAACCAATTAAGAGTAAATGAGTATTGTGGATTGAAAGATCTAAACTTTGTCATATTAACAATACAATCTTGGAATCTACTGTAAGCAAGTTGCTCTGAGCCTCTTTGAACAAATTTCTTAATGCTGTCATCTTTGTGGAAACAAACATTCAATAACAAAGCAAAAAGTCTAACCCAGTGATTCTCAACCTTTCTAATGTCGTGACCCCATAATACAGTTCCCCATGTTGTGGTGACCCCCAAGTGGGTGTGGCCACCAATAAGAGGGAGTAGGACAGCTAGGGAAAAGGGAAAAAAATGGCAGACAGCATGGTTTGGCGATCCCCGTGAAATGGTCATTCGACCCCAAATGGGGTCCCAACCCACAGGTTGAGAACCACTGGTCTAACCAAAATTGAAAATCTTATACCACATAATACTGAACATTTGTTACCACAATTGAATATTAAATTTACCTCAAATATTATATTCAGAGAGAACTGGTATGTTTTATCACTGATATATCACTTCAGTCTTGATTGCTAAAATTACTTTTTCCGAAAAATGGCAGAAATATAGATTGGATTCTTCCTCCATATATGACAACAATATTATAAAATTCAACAATATTGTAAATTATACATTGCAGAATGGAACAAATTTTGAAAGTTTTAATCCTGAATAATTTATATTAAATTTCGCCAATACTGTAATACATACATTCATAATACGTTGAATTGGCGTTGGTATACAGCTTCAAGGATTTATATGTTAATCGAATTGTGGGAATTTGCTTCAACATCTAGATAAAGTAAATCTGATATAGAATTCAAATCTATCTGGAAATCCTGTCTAGATACAATACATGGAATTATATAACCAAAATTAGGGCTTTAGCATTCTATTTTGACATATAATCTATGTACAATTCACATTAAACACGGTCCTTGTTTAATGACCAAAATAGTGACTGGCAACTTGGTCATTAAACAAGTTAATGAAACATGATTTTACTTTGATTTTTCTTTACTTTACAGACCCAGGAAGGTTGTAAACTTTGCTGCAAACTTGCTAAATGAGGCAGTCACTAAGTGAGGAGTACCTGTACTGTCTTAATGTATTATTTTCACCCAGTTCTCACTTTTTCCTTTTTTTAATGACTCAATTATGTTACCCAGCTATCTTTAAAGTTAAATAGATACATGTTTTGCTAGAAATGGATATGAAACACCTTGCAGCAGTGGTCGCCAACCTTTTTGGCTCCACAGACAACAGCAGTCGAGGAGGAGATGCTTTTGCATGCACAACCTAATCCTGCACATGTGCAAATAAAACTTTGCATGCTTGCCTACTGCTTGCACAGACCAGTTGCCAATCCACCATGGACCATTATCCAGGGGTTGGGGAGGCTTATAAGCTTTTAATTAAGGCAACATTTGTAAGTTACGTGTGTCCTAAATGCTATTTTTACAAGGCTCATAAAAGAGGGATTTTACAGGGGAAAGAGGACAAAGAAACAATAGTTCCTGAAAACATAACCAGTAAAAAAAATTAGAAATCCATTCTTAAGGTGAGGCTCTCTGATACAAATACCTGCATTTTGCAAATTCTTTCTTCTGGAAATTTAAGCATTCCCTTACTTCATGAA